GTGGTAGAAGTGTAGCTTTGATTGACAGCTGCATCAGTCAGTCAAAGCCCGGTGAGAGCCAGTGACCTTTGACCTAAACAGGCTGCTGTTCAGACCTGAACCTGCTCCACAGTCCACACTGGAGAATCATCTGTCTGTGGCCCACAGCAGTGGCCCACTTTTTCTGTCTGTGTTTGTCTGAGGGTCACAGACTCACCAGAATCATGACCTCCATGACCTTTGTTGTCCGTGGGTCACGTCATCCTGACCTCTACCTCATTATTTTCTAAAATGATGCTGAGTCATCACATAGTACCATGTGAGTCACTTCTATAGTACCATCATCTGGTAACCAGGGGTCTAGAATGTAGACCACATCTAAACCAAAACAATGGCACACATCAGTGGACCACAGCGGGACTACATGTGGGCCACGTGGTTAGGTCACTGGTCCATCCCTGCTGTGTGAAGACCAGACGAGTTCCACTGGAGTTCAGCCCACTTTTAGTCATGTGGTCCACACTCTGGATAACAAATGTGGGCCACATACAGCTGGTAACTGGTGTGTGTGTAGGATAGGAACCACCTGTGTGGGCCACTTCACTGTCACTGTTAGTGGCGGTGTACAGGAGGGTCTCCGCGGTGTAGACACACACTCACAACCCAGATGTGGGCCATGAAAAGACACCACGTCTTCCTGTGAAAGAGGTGGTGAGTGTGCACCAGTGGGCTTCACCTCAGTCGTCAGGACAGTCCAAGGTGTGACAAGAGGCCTGTGTGGGCTGCGTCTACTTCCTGTACAGTAACAGTGCACGTACGTGCACAGTGGAGATCGGCGGTCATGTGGCACACGCAGCAGCCATGTGACTGCTCTCTCGCTCTGTGTTTTTGGAGTTATGCTTATTGTGGGATGTCAGTGTGACTGAATATTATGGGATGCAGCGTGAAGGGGAGGGAGGGGGAGAACATCTCCATGGCAACGGTGGAGGTGCGTGTTTGTAGGAATGGGGAAGAGTCTATGGAGGGGGAGGGGTGACTATTATGGTCTGTAGTTGCAAGGTAACTATGCAGAGTGGGGGGAGGGGCGACTGATGTGCGTGAATGCGTGCGTGTGTGTTGAGGGGGTTATTATGGGATGTCTGCCCCCTGATCTCTTTGTGTGTGCGCGCGTCCACGTGGGGCGTGTGTGCGTGGATGAGTTTGTGCGCGCGGAGGTAAAGAAAAGAAAGAAGCAGAGACGGCGTCGTCGTCGTGTGCACACGCTGCCGCTCACACGCACACAAAAGAAAACTGATTAAAACGAAGAAGAAAGAAGATAAAACAGTTTGGTTGAAGGTGAATTAACGCAGGGTCATAGATTAAAGCGCCTCCCGGTGTTTGTGGACGGAAAGTGTGGAGGGAGTTACTACTGTTGTGAGTATTTGACACTTTTGTCTTTTACACTTTCTAGTTTCTTTTCTTAGTTTTTTCGGATACGGAGGTTCAAGTGAAGCCATCTGGTCACGGGTGCCGGGTGGGTTTTGCCAAATAGATGTCGGTGTGTGTTCGGCTCCTGCAACTGGGTTCTCGGTTAGCACACATGCTAATGCTAACGGGTCTGAAAATGAGGATGATGAAGGCAGAGGGGTGACAGATATGAATTAGTGAATGATTTAGTGGATGAATGAGTGAACGGCTGCTGATCATCGTCCGCCTCGTCTTCAACACCACCCGATAAAAAACTCCTATTTATATTCTGGACAGGGAGCACATGTGCCGGCTGTTTGGATTTTACCGGCAGATGTCTGTTAGTGTGTCTTTTCTGTACTGCCTAAATTTACTTCAGTTCTCTCTCTTCTTTTAACATGTTTTCTCTGTGGTCCGGGAAACCGCTGCTCCTGTTGGAATAAAACCTCTTCACCAACTTGGACAGGCTCCGACTGGGTCACAACTCTGGATTACCACAAGCAAAATAAATAAACTTTAGGCATTATTTGGTTAGCTAGCATTGCAGTTGGCTAACTAAGTAAAAAGTTTTCTGGTGATTATGTCTGGAAGTGAAGATGACAGAGACGAGTACGGAGCCACGGATGACCGATTATTGCACGGTAAGACCGCGGCTCGTTTTTAGCCGTGGATGCTAATGTTGATGCTAGCAGACATTCTTTTGACGTTCATATCAATCATGTTTCATTAGCCACTCGGCTAACTTCCGGTTATATTGTATTAGCCGCTAAGTTGACGTTCACATTAGCCATGCTTAGCCCCTCAACTAACTTCCGGTTAGCCAAGAAACACCGGGAGCAAATTTATCGACACCTGACGCGGGTTTTGTAGCATATTATTTGTAAGCATATTACGATTATTCGATTAGTGTACGTAACCAGTTCATCTGACAGCAATCGGTTGTCACTAAAGCCGTTCGCCGGCTGCCGGTATGTTTTCCGGGCCTAGCGTCAGCATCAGCCGTTTTTTGTCTCTACGTTTCGATGACAAGATGGAGGCAGCCAGTTAGCTGAAGCTAACGGATGACGTTCTAAAGCTTTCCCCTCCTCATGGCCGGTGGCGCCTTCGGTTTGAGTGTGAGAAGAAATAAAGGTCCGAATAATAATTTATCTCTTTGATGAAAACATGGCAAAGTAACTTTATCGCCTTATTGGTCCTAATGGTCATATTAATGTGGTGAGACTTATGTTTGTTTACTTTTTGTAGCCGTCGAAAAAGTTAGTAGTGATGGGATCTGTAAATATTATGCTATATTTGATTTATTCTCCGTTTTTAACCAGGTGTGTTTTCCACACCTACATAAAACAATAGAGTGCGTATCAAAATGCATGTTGTATTATTATTATAATAATTTTAGAATTAATATATATCACTCAAATTGTAAGTGTCTTTGGATAAAAGTGCTAAACATATTGTGAAAAGTCATTGTTGCACTAAATGAGTTGAGACATTCACCCACCACAGAGGGCTCATCTGATTCAATTCTTTATAGTTTTCTGTCTTGTGCCCAGGATTCTGCTTGTGATTTTTGTCTGTCCAGTGAGACAGTCTTGACCATGATTATATAAGGCTATTTCTCTGTTGATCTAAGTCGTTTTAGTGAGACGTGGCTTCCTTGAAGTTCATGTTTTCGTGAAGTCTTCAGTTATTTTCAGTTTTACTTTCTAATGTTCCTGCTCTTCATTTCTTCCACTGTTGTTTTTTTTGGTCTGGCTAAAACTGAGAAAACAGATTAATTTCCACTTGAACGGTCATGTCATCATCAATGCCACCGGTGTTGGTGTGAATGCAGCTTAACACTTGAACTGCAGATGAATCTTAATGTTAGGGTTGCCTGGATGAAGGTTCCTAAACCCATCAACACCTTCAGATATCAATCCAATATTTCAGTGCTTATGCTGTACAGTCACTTGTGTGTATGAAGCCTGTGAAATGTTTTAACCCCATGGCCCAGGTGATCCTGTTTGTACTGAAGTAATAACTGTGTTGATGTAGTGGAAAGACTTCATTATTACCACAGTCAACTTACACAGATTAATTTTGTGTCCCCCAGACGATGACGACGAGGAGGTCTCTGAGAACGAGGCTCCAAAGGTGAAAAAGAAAAAGAAAGCTAAGAAGAGCAAAGAGAGTAAGAGCAGCAAGAGGCGCTCACGGAGAGAGGTATGTGCATGTGAAGTCATATGGTCACCTGGGTTTGTTCATTTGCTGGGGTTTCACCATGCAGAAATAATGGGGTTCCACCTGGTGGCTAGTCAGTGTTCCTAATGTTCAGCCTGTCGGGTTTTCTCTGGTCATTTCAACAGCAAACCATGCCTCGCAAAAATGTTGAAGGTGTCCTGACCCACGTCAACAGACTGAGAGTGTGCTCATTTCATTTACCATCATGATCATTTAGAATCATGTGTGGGTAATTCCTTCTCTGTAGCCTGGTGCCAGTGGTTTAGAACCTCTGGTCCACTACTATAACATCAGATGGCCCGTTGACCAGTTGTGATTTACTGACAGCCCAGTGACGTTTGTCTTCTGTTCTCATTCTAAACCTAATCTTTTCTGTGCTTCTCTTGTCCCTCATCTGTCTCGTTCTTTTCCCTCTTCTTATCTCTATTTTTTTTCCAGGAACTTCCTGTCAGCTCGCCGGAACACATGGACCTGGGTGGAGTTGACGACGGAGATGACGGCTCGCTGCGCCGCTCCGACAGCGAGGGCAGTGACTACACACCAGGTCGCAAGAAGAAGAAGAGAACGGGCAGTGTTAAAGAGAAGAAGAGGGGCAGTGTGGGAAATGAACGCAGTTCAGCCAAGAAGAAAGAACCGGAACCAGAGGACGAGGAGGACGACGACGATGACGACTGCTCGGTAAGAACAGCTCAGACACACACACACACACACCAGGGTAAACAGAGGGAGATCTCAGTCAAAGGTGTGCAACATTACACGTGTCCAATCTCTGTCTGTTGGTCTCTCTCAGATATATTGACATCCGTCCACAGAGACATGTTGGTTCTATCAGAGAAGCCCACACTGGCCGTAATTTCTTTTCTTGCGCCATCATAACCTCCTGTTTTGGGGCGTTTTGTTTTCGATGATAAGTCTTTCAAAAACACACGGAAATTTTCAGTGGGTGAATATTCAGTGCATCACTAGTTTTAAGGCTGAGTCCTCCACCTCAGGTCACGTTTGACTGTAGACGACTTGTTTTTTTCTGTCACCACTGGTGTAAAGGGAAAGTTCCAGCTTCAGTTTCTTTCCTGCAGGAACCCAAGTCTTCTTCACAGCTGTTGGACGACTGGGGCATGGAGGACATCGACCACGTCTTCACGGAGGAGGACTACCGCGCTCTCACCAACTACAAGGCCTTCAGTCAGTTTGTCAGGTACAAATATTGAACGGAGAAGGAATGAGTTCTTGTTGTCCGTTGTGTCCACGTGGAGAGGATTGTCCAACTCTGGACTGGTGCAGACTAAACCACATGTTGAACCCCGTCTCCTCTCCAGGCCCCTCATCGCAGCTAAAAACCCCAAGATCGCGGTGTCTAAAATGATGATGGTCCTCGGCGCCAAGTGGCGCGAATTCAGCACCAACAACCCCCTGAGGGGGGCAGCCGCCGCTAATGCTGCCCTAGCTACAGCCAACGTCCCTGCTGCTGTGGACACCATGGTGGCAGAGGTGGCTCCCAGTGTCCCTGCAGCCGCGCCAGCGCCTCCTCCGCCGGAGCCTCAGCAGCCGCCGGCACCACCGCTGCGAAAGGCCAAGACCAAGGAGGGCAAAGGTGTGGTTGGGTGATGTGATGTGATGAGTTGGTCTGCACCAGAACCAGGAGCAGCTGTTCACTGTTCAAGTTTGTCTTGTGCAGGTCCAAATGCTCGCAAGAAGTCCAAACCTGCACCAAAGCCTCAGGAGAAGAAGAACAACAGCAAGACCAAAAAAGTGGCTCCACTGAAGATCAAACTGGGAGGATTCAACAACAAGAGGAAACGCTCCTCGGTAAGAACTCCTCCAAAGCCCCCCCCCCCCATCCCAGCTCCTGACCTGACCTGAGGTGCTGTTTTTACTTGTGCTGTGGTTCATTCTTTAACTGTGCTGTGACCCTCAGAGCGAGGAGGACGAGCCTGACGTGGACAGTGACTTTGACGACGGCAGCATGAACAGCGTGTCGGTGTCTGAGGGATCCAACAGTCGCAGCAGCCGCTCCAAGAAGAAGCCCGCTAAGAGCAAACCCAAGAAGAAGAAAGGTGTGAGCTCAGGTTTCTCTGGACGTGAAGTGGGAGTGGTGACAAGAACAAGTTCTGGTTCTGTTTCCTGTGTGTGTGATACTGATGTTGTCGCTACCGTTAGTGCAGCGACGACCTGTCTGTGGACTAAACAGTGGGAGGCGCGTGCACGTGCACATGCACTGACAGTCACAGCAGTCAGTGTGAGTGAGTCAGCACACAGTCACCATGTTTGTCCTCCAGTGTAGGCCGAGTCACATGATCACGGTGTCGAGCTGCAGGCGTTCTAACGTCTCAGTTCCTCTGGGGGGCGATGGTGTGACCTCCTGCCCAGAGTCTGTCGGTGGTTCTGGACACGTGATTCATCCTCGTGGACGTCCTCGGGTCCAGGGGTCTCATGTACTGAACGTGCGTAAATTTCATCGTGAAAAAGGGGGTACGCAAAAATCCAGAGTCGGTCGTAGGAAAAATCCTGATGACCCAAGTACATTTCATACATCCCAACGTGGCGTTGAGCGCACATGAGGAATTACCACACCACGCTCCCTACCTACGTTAAAATATGTGCATATACATTTGAAAAGGCAGTGGATCACATGATCTGCAGGTGACATCATCAGGAGGAACTGTAGGTCCTAGTCAGAGAAGAGGTGAGGTGTGTGTTTTTGAAAAGGATAGGGTTACACAAGGTTTGACACGAGGCTCCGCCCATTTCTACGATCATTTCAGTTTTGATACATCTGAACGTGAACGCGGAACAGGGCGTGAGCAACTTCGGTACATCAGACCCCAGGTCTTCACACCAGAAGTCAGACGTTTTCTTTTTCATCTGTCTCAGAAGCAGAGGACGGGGACGGCTACGAGACGGACCACCAAGACTACTGCGAGGTGTGTCAGCAGGGGGGGGAGATCATCCTGTGTGACACCTGCCCCAGAGCCTACCACATGGTCTGTCTGGACCCCGACATGGAGAAGGCACCGGAGGGAACCTGGAGCTGCCCACACTGTGTAGGAGTCACCTCTGTTCACACTGTAGTTCACACTGTGTAGGAGTCACCTCTGTTCACACTGTAGTTCACACTGTGTAGGAGTCACCTCTGTTCACACTGTAGTTCACACTGTGTAGGAGTCACCTCTGTTCACACTGTAGTTCACACTGTAGTTCACACCTGTTCACGCTGTAGTTCAC